GCACCCGTTTCTCTAATACACAATATTTGTATTAGAACTTGCACCCGTTTCTCTAATACACAATATTTGTATTAGAACTTGCACCTGTTTCTCTAATACACAAAATTCGTATTAGTACTTGTACCTGTTTCTCTAATACACAAAATTCGTATTAGTACTTGCACCTGTTTCTCTAATACACAAAATTCGTATTAGTACTTGCACCTGTTTCTCTAATACAATTTCTCTACTTCTACTGGTATGAGTGATGATATTATTTACCTGGAACGAATCGCCAACAACTTAGCAGGAAGTTCTTTATCTGTGAAAGATGTGATGGGCATTTTCCAACATATGATGGGGTCCATTACCCTCTGCTTCAGTCACCTCTACTCACATGAATTTGAGTGTGTTTTTTTACCTGCCTCCATGTTTTACTTTGGGATTGTCTTTCCTGGACAATCCCAAAGTAAAACATGGAGGTTTCCTGTCTCCATGTTTTACTTTGGGATTGTTTTCCTGTCTCCATGTTTTACTTTGGGATTGTTTTCCTGTCTCCATGTTTTACTTTGGGATTGTTTTCCTGCCTCCATGTTTTACTTTGGGATTGTCTTTCCTACTGAAGTACAATCTTGGTCTTCCAACGATTTTCAAAACCTTATTACTTAGTCATGTAAACTTCTTTTGTTTTCTTCCCCATATCCTTTGACGTCGTTCTCTATTACACAACTTTTCCTTTCTCAGTTTATTTGTTTTCCCCCCATCACCAGACATTGCTGTACATGATTCTTTGTATCTAGATCAATTTTCTTTCCCTTAACCTTGTGCCATTTCCCCCCCTCGGCTGACTGATTCTTATGTTCTTGTTTATGGTCATTCAAACTTCCTATTCCTTGACACCTAGTCTTTGGGGTTTTTCTTGCCAGTTTTGGGGGTGGATTCATTATTGGCTGTTTCTCACCATCATTCTTAGGTACCTCTCCTTCCTTCACCTTATGATGGAAGCATTCCACCATTCCCCTGATGACTTTTCTGGGAACTATAGAGTGCTCCTCTACATTGACCCATTCAACCTTTTCTGCTCATTTTTTTTATCAATTGATTCCTTTGTTGTTCTTACCTTTTGTGAAGAGATATCCTACTTTTCCAAGTCCAGTTCCTTTCCTCTGGGACCTTTATTTTACTCTTTTTCTTTATCTGGAAGTTTTTGGTGGTGTCTCTGATGCCCTTAAATCATGGGCTGGAGCTGCCTACCATCAATCATCCCTTACTTTCCTAGTTTATCATTTGTTCTGACCTGGCCCTCCTTCTACTCCCCAACATATGTACACAGTCAAGTGGAATAAATGGTTCCTGAAAAGCAGTAGAACCTCTCGTGCTAAAGGTGAAGTTTAGGTGCGAACTTTGATGACCAGATGCTTGATGTCCCAAAAGCAAACTGATGTTAGAGTTGAAGAGAATTCTTGGATGGATGAGATATTGGGTCAGAGTAAGGAAGAACTTGGAAATCTTGACAAATCACCATAAACAAGCAGCTTCATGCAGAATAAGAGATACCTGTTCAGAGAATTCCATCTAGGAATGGATGAAGAAAAGCCAGTCAACCATGTAGAAATGGAAACACAGACCCAGACTGTGCAGATGTCAGGTGAAGACCTGCATAATGACTGTAAACATAACATGCTAATGCTATTCTGAATGAAAGGGCATGAAAATGTAAAATGCAATATTTGTGGATGAATCTGATAAAACATCATGAAGATGGGGCACTCAGAATGTAGAGAAAGGCATCAGACACATCAACTTGGTCATCCAGAGGACAGGTTGAAAAGCCCAACAGAAATAGAAAAAATTCTCCATGTGAAAATGTGGGATAATCAAGAAATGATTGACAGAGGAAAGGTTAATAATTTGACGCCAGTCCCTGGTCTTTTTGGAGACAACAAAGAGGTTGGAATGATACCTGGAGAGAGGTCACGAACTCACTCAATGACCCGTTTCTCCAACAAATCTGACACTGCCCCTCCAAACATTGGTAGCAGGCCAGGGTGTTGCAATGCAACAAGTTGGGAAAGAAGAGGAGGGGTGAAGAGAAAGACCATGGGAAACCATTTTAAAAACCCATCTGTTGATAGGTCAGCAAACCGAGACAAACATTTCCCATGATTAGGCTGGCAGGTAAGATGTTGGATGGAAGTAGAATGAGAACAGGTGGAAGATCGGAACACAGGAACAAAAAAGTAAATGAGAGCATGCCTGATGGACAGCAACCAGTTTGAGGGCATGGGTATGTGAGGAACATCTTTCCATGGTCCGACAACCCAAAGTCAGACAGTAATTCAGGGATGCTCCTGATCCAAAGAAAAAAGTGCCCATGAGGAGATGAATGTTCAGTATGGGAGGAGGTAAAGGAACACCAAGGGGTGGTATTGGAGTAATTTAGCCATCAATCAAGGTTCTCCAGTAGACAAGGAACGAGGATTGGTGAGGACAGTGAATCCCTGGAAAGGTTTCATTGGTTGTGCAAAGCCCACTATGGGGGCCCCTCCTGGTGAATCAATGGGTTATGATACACTTGGACAACTACATAATCGTATCTAATGGGAACTGCTGAGGGAGTGCCATTCCAGGACACACTACTTTTGAACATTGGACCTCCTCTCTTTGGCCCATTCTAGTCAAGTGGATGTAATAGCCTGTTATGTTCCAGGTGCACTGAACATTCTTACAGACCGTTTTATTTGTCGGGGCTGAATCATATCAAAGAAATGGTCACTACATCTTCCACTCTTCTATTGGAACTTGGAACTCCTTTCATAGACACCTTTGCCATACCCTTCAACTAAACACTTCCTATCTTTTGGTCTCCTGTGCTTCACTCATTAGCCCTGGCTGTCGATGCCTTCAGCTAAGACTGATCCCATCTTTTCCTTTATGCCTATTCTCGTCTCTGTTTCCTTCCTCAAGTACTTGCTCTGATTTGGGGCACTTTTTGCAGAGTTTTGTTAGTAACCCCTTACTACCCTGCCCAACCTTGGTTTTTGTTACTTTTGTGCCCCCTCACACATGATTTGACACCTTACTCATTTTCTTGCAGCCCATTTCACTATCTTCTAATGGTAATTTGCCAGGACTACCCCACATCCCTTCTTCAATCATCACCTGACTCTCTCGTCTCTGGAGGGATTTAGACTTCTGCCCATAGCCATTCTTCAGTCCACCATTCAATTTTATACTAGTGAGTGTTTTTAAATGTTTCTTACAAGTAACTTCCTATAGGATCCCACTAGGCAGCTAGTGTTCTCACCTGGAGTATATTTATTCTAGCCTAATATTTATTTTGGGTAATGGAAGTCACTCATACCATCTGCCCTGGCCCTACACATGATCACTGTAAAATGGGATGTTCTGCAGGACCACTTAAGGTTTCCTTATGGTATTTAAATATATATCTATATTACATTTTATGGTTAATCCAGACTATACCAATTCTTTGGACTACCATGGAAAAAGCCAGCACCGGAGTTATGTATCTGCACAGTTCTCTGGCTAGCACTTACTGTCTTTTAAAAATAGTGTTTCATGGTCATTCATTGCACTGTCTCCAGTAAATGACCTTTCTGGACTGAAAGACCGATTGGAATCTGGGCACATTTTCTAGGTCTCCACTATGCAAATTCTCCCCCCTCATATAGTGGAGCATGGGAGACCCTTGACACTTACCAGCTCCCAGTTGCTGGGGTGGTGGACCATGGAGAATCTTCACCAATTGAGACCTAACTACTGGGGTTAAAACAAAGGGTCCTTCCATGGAGATAAATGGGGCTGGGGTGAGTCACCACACATATATGATACATCACAAACTTCAAGTGGATGTCAAAGATTTCTTTTCTTTTCCACCAAAAGTGAAATTGAAAGGAAAATCTGTGATGTAGAAGCCTAATGAATTCCTTGATTGGTCAGCAAACCACAGAAATACAGTTAGGCCTCTTATTACATACACTTCGCCATATAATCATTAAACAGATGGTTCACTGTATAATATTGAATAATGAGTTTGGCAAAATGTCATGCATTATTCACATATCTAGATTAATTTAGATTACTGTATGATGAATTAAGAAGGACCCAAAACCTCATAGAGATGTTAAAAATCATTATACTGAATATTTATAGATTTACTTTTTTTCACAAATCTTCCTGCAGCTAAAATCTGATCAGTAGAGTCAAGTTGCACACACTATTTCTTGTCCTTTCTACATTGTACTGCAAAAGGAAACACTCCTGCAGCTGTTGTGTGACCTGTAGAGATTGACAGTTAAATGGAGTTGTACTTAATACTGTGCCCTCCTCCCACAGCTGGCATGGGGTCTGTAAAGACTGATGGTGGAGTTGAGGAGACCACACCGAATACACAAAGTATGTATCACTTACACACCCTAATCCCACAGCAGGCAAGGGGCCTTAGTGACTGATAGTAGAGGAGATGAGCACGTATACTTATCACGAGTGCCCTTCTCTCACAACTGGTTTTGGTCCAACGTACATGGAAGGTTGTGTATTTACTCTGCCCATCCTTGCGACACATTTATTGCTTTTCTGACTCTTCAATTTATAAACAAGCAAAGAGTATATCCTGGATGAGATGATATTTGGTTTCCCATGGGTGTGCCCCTATGGAGCTTATGCCATCAGGTGTCACACCTCATGGGCTTCCTTTAGATGTTTTCTGAAGGAAGTCTTTACTCCAGTCCCTCTGCCATCTCAATGTGGGATTCAAGCTATTCAGAATTTAAGATTTCAAATAGATACTCACCTCCACACACGTTCCTCCCCACTTTCCTGGTACATGTTTCATTATTGCCTCATCAGAGAATGAGATTTCACTAGCATGAATGTAAAGGGAGTCGTTGCACATGCAGGTGTGTCACACTACTATTGGTTGAGGACCCTGCTACATGAATGGTTTCATGTGAGATTAGGTGGGAGTTTTCACAAGGATGCTGGCTTGCAAATCTCTTTGGCAAATTGTGGGAACTCCAGAGGAAAATAGCTGTTCTGTGTGTGAAGATGAGTGTCTAGGGAATTACATTTTCAGGTAAGGACAATGTACCTTTAACTTGTGTGGTTGAAATTATACATGTACTAAACTGGTTAACTTATATCAATAATAGAAAGTTAATTATATCACTTATTTATTTATGAGAAATAATAAAAAAATTCTCTATACCTATTTGGTTTAATTAAGTGGAATAATAGAAAATTATTGTAGTTATGTCTACTTGGTCGAATTAAGAACAGCAATAGAAAATTAGCAGTATATCTTTGTTTCAAACAAGTTTTAAAAATTAGTTTCACATTGTTTTAATAAATAGCAGCAATAGAAAATTAGCAGTATATCTTTGTTTCAAACAAGTTTTAAAAATTAGTTTCTCATTATTTTAATAAATAGCAGCAATAGTAGTTTTTAGATATACCGCTTTAGATTGTAGAATAATTTCAAGTGAGTCGCTATACATTAGTTATTTCACTCTTGAAGTTTTTTATAAACAGTTTTTGTTCTGAATCTAGAAAGCAATGTAAAGGAGGAAGATTTTGTAACCTATTATAATGAAATCACAAGAAAAAGAACACCAAAGGTAAGCTTTATTCCAATGAATCAAATTATTATAAAACTATTTTGTAGTTTTATTTGTAACCTGTAACTAAATGATGTTTCTGGTTTTCAAAAACTATTTGGTAAAGAAGAAGATAATGACATTTTAATGTGATGAATTGTAAGTGAAAACATTTTAAACTGAAAATGATAAATTAAACTAATTCAATATAACAATTTATTTCTCCAGTCTCTTGTACAGTTTGTGGTAAAGACATAGAAGTAAATAACAGATTGGTAGTGTACCGAAGCCAGTCTTTGACAAGAATTTTGAACCTTACTGTAATGCACCTTGTTTGTTTCAATGTTGTGTTTAGATATTTGTTTTCTTGTTAGATTTATGAGGTTTCATAAAAATATAACCTTAAAAATATTTACAGTTTTTGTTTCTGTGGCACAAATTTAATTATTTCAGATTCCAAACCATCATTACCAGAAGCCTTCTCTACTCCCACCCATAGAAGTGCCTCACCCTGGTGCCTCTTATAATCCAGCTTTTGATGAACACCAGGTGTGTGTGTGTTGTTATTAGAATATGTAATAGTATTACTGTTTATATTTTTACATCTCCCAGAAGATAACTCACCTCTCACTTAGCTATACTGTTTATATTTTTACATTTCTCAGAAGATAACTCTCCTCTCACACAACTTAGCTATACTATTTATATTTTTACATTTCTCAGAAGATAATTCACCTGTAACACAACTTAGCTATACTGCTTATATTTTTACATCTCCCAGAAGATAACTCACCTCTCACACAACTTAGCTATACTGTTTATATTTTTACATTTCTCAGAAGATAATTTACCTGTCACACAACTTAGCTATACTGTTTATATTTTTACATTTCTCAGAAGATAATTCACCTGTCACACAACTTAGCTATACTGTTTATATTTTTACATTTCTCAGAAGATAATTCACCTGTAACACAACTTAGCTATACTGCTTATATTTTTATGTTTCTCAGAAGTAACTCACCTGTCAAACAACTTAGCTACCTTCCTCAGCCCTTCAGTGCATCTGCTAAAGGGATTTGCATGCCACTGGCCTTGAGGCAACTTCCATCTAATTACACATGGATTAATTTGAATTGTGTTATTGCATGACGATGTCATCATGTAACAAAAGCCCTCCACCAATAAGAGAGGGACACACTTCCATGCACAATAACTCCCCTATGTGCTTGCTCTCGTGAGAGTTCATTTTCTATTTTGCACTCTATGAACCAGACATGTTTCAATTTCTTGTCTGTGTTCAATTTATTAAGATTTGTATCATTAATGAAACTGATTTTTGTTTTATTTAGCTTTTTTTTTCAAAAGCTTTAATTTTTTATCATGAATGATGGTGATTTATACTTGGTTCTGAGTGTGGGATATTGTTCACACTTAGGCCTGTTAACTGTCAGGGTTGTAACAGCTGTTGTTCACTGTAATGTAGATTACCATGTGCTTAATGGGCCTACTCATTTCATCTCATTGGCTGAACGTATTTCTCCTCAGTTGGGAATGATCTTTTGGACTACTACCTTCATGTAATTTGCTTTGGGTAGTACTTTACCATTCATAAAACAACCTTAACCTTTGGGATTTTATTCTCAGATATGTTCCTTTCTTTCTCTTTTGTCTGTGTTCTTTATTATATTTAGTTGTTTTTTTTCCATTTTGTGACCAGCAATTCTTGGGATTATCTTTTTTCTCATTGTTTATTGATAAGATTTACAGTGTTTCCTTCCTCTCATAACTCCTTTCTCATGGCCAAATGCTTCCTCTCCCCCATGTTCATGACTACTTTTAGCCAGATTTATTTTGACTTTCCTCTCTTCCTTTCCTCGGTTCCTTGTCAATGGTATCTTTGTGACCTACTTGGGGATCAAGCCTTTTACCTTCTATTTCACTTTCTAGTTCCCTATTTTCACATTTTTCTTATTTTTCTCTCTACCTTTCTGTTTTCCTTCTCCTACTTCTACCTTTTATCTGAGGAATTTCTTTGTGTATCAGTTAGCTACTGTGGACATTCATATCCTTCTATGTTTGGCATGTTCCACATCTTTTGCTTTATCCCTCCATACTTTATTTCCTTACTTTTGGGTCGAGTTACTTTCCTATTTACTGTACCCTTTCCTCCTCCTTATGTACAAACTATTCACGTGCTCCCTTTATTTGCCCAGATACCTTCAATGGTGGTCTTTTTTCTCTGGTGACCTAGTCTAATATTATATGACTTCTGTCCTTAATCTGTTCTAGGTTTTTTCCTAGTACTGAACTGTGCCCTTTACTCCTATTTCCTATCTAAATTAGTCTCCTCCTTACCTTCCATTCCAGGTTCCAGGCTATCGTCTTTTTCATATCTCACCTCTACCAGTTATTTCGTTTGACAATCTTTTTGCCAGTGACTATCAAACATGTATGATTCTGTAGATGCCTTTCTCCATTTCTACTGTTGGTCTCAATTTCTGCCGATAGGCATTTTTCATTTTTCCACCTTAATCGCTTTACTGACTTCTCTTCATTTTCTTCCCATTTCCCCTTCTCCTTGCTCTGACTTCATCTATGTTCTTTCAGATCCAGTCTGTGGTTTGTAGTGGTCAATGTGTCAGACACCTTCCACGTGACTTCCTTGGCCTGTCCTTGTTTTGTGTGTATTTTTCTTTTGACTCGGCATCAGCCCCTCTTGTATTTATTGGTATTGTAAAGGCCTTTGCCTGCCAAATTCATGACTTATGGCTGGCATTCCTTTCCTTTGACTGTTTATATCTGTTAACCCATTCTTGGATGTTTCCCTCTCTCCTTCCTCCCTCTTTTTTTTGGTAGCTGCTCAGTTGGGGGCTTGTCTTTGGATCCAATTCTTTTCTCACACCCACTCAGCATTGGTCATTTTCTTCTTCTCTTCATCTCAACCAAGTTCAATCTGTCTTTGCCTGCTAACTGTTGCATATCTAGTTACTGAGTTTTACAGTTCTTGTTCTCTCCCTGTGTGAGAAGTTCTTTCCCATTTGGGGATTCTGACTTGTAAACCTTGTGGACAGGCTTTCTTTCTTTGGGTCTTTTGTCCTCTTTGTAAGCCTCTCCTCTAGGAATGGTCACAGTGATTGGACCATACCTATCTTACTTTCTGCACTCCCTTACCACCTCTCAAATCAGATCTCTTCCTTCTTCAATGCTTATCTCTCAGATTGAGGTACATTTTTCATGGGGGAAAGGTCTTTCAACATTTGGACATTGAAATAGAGTTCACTCCCTATCAATGTGCTCGATCTTCTCTTTTTTTTCTGTTGGGCTTGTTCCCATTCCTACTCTTACTGGTAGTTTGTTTGGTCATGTTCCACTCAATCTCTTCCAGAGCCTTTCCTTACTCCACCTATCCTTGTGGCTTCTGTTCCAAGGCCTTTTTGTTTTCAAGCATTAGATATACAATTCTGTGCCAGGAGCTTCCATCTTGTTGGTGGGCTGCCTTTCTCAGTTTGTATTCTTTTAACAGAGTAGCCTCTGCACCCCCAGATTTTTCTTGGGCTTACACACCTCTCTTGGATGCAGGCTTCCTCTCTTAAGGTCCGCTATTCTTCATATTTTGACTCTGGCTGTCATTTTTCTCATCTCCACCTTCTGGTCCTTGGATTTACACACTACTATCATTCTTAGATCCTTTTTTTTGGTGCTTCTATGACCACTTGTTTTTGACCAGCTTGATAGTTGGACCTCCTCTTTCTTCTCCCCCTTTCTCTCTCGTGCTTCACACTCTCACACTAACTTTCTTCATGGAAAGTTATCCTCCCTTCACTGTCACACATGGAATTTGCCCAGTCTGTTGCCCATTGGGCCAGACTTTCCACTACTGCAATATTATTCTTGTCATCTTTTCCCTGTATATGTCTCTCACCATCTGTGGCAAGTCTTTTGCCATTGGTCTTTTTGTCACTCATTTCCTCCTGACAATAATTCTTTGCAGCACCTTTCTGCCTTTTTTACCTGACTGTTCATTAATGCATTCTCAGTCTTTCCTAGTTATTGGCTGACCTTTCTCCTTCCTCTCTGCTCTGCTTTTTCCTCTTCCTCTTGCTGCTCCCTTATCTGACCTTGTTGAGGTTTTACTGGATCTTGTGCATTCCCCATTCAGGCCATTGACTTTCTCCTTTTTTAACATCTTTCTCTCCTGGCTTGTTTCCTCCTACAATTACCATAGTTCCAATGTCTATCCTTTAGATTCTTCTCTCACCAACTTCTCATTTCCTCTTTTCTTAACTGAAATCCATAGTTAATTAACAACTAAGTAACTAACTAGCTAGTCTGCTGAAGAATAGTGGATAATTATGATGGTATTGTCACATACTATCCAAACACCTAATGTGTTTTATGTTGTTAGTGGTGAGTAAAGGATTATACATCAAAATAAAACTAATAACATTCCACCACTGTATGAGGCCTATTTTACTTCTTGGTTCATTCTTCCAAGAACAACTGATGACTCGGGAATTTAGCAGAAGTAGCGAATAAGAGAATAAATTAGGCGTCTGTGTCATCATTTGATGAGGTAAAGAAATATATTAGTAGTGAGGAAACATGTAAAACTATACTTTTCTGGGACTCCTTGGTGTTTAGTAAGATATGTAACCAGAACATTGTTTAAAGTCTTACTAAGATATATGTTCATAGTTTTCTAAAACTCCTTGGTGTTTAGTAAGATATGTAAACAGAACATTGTTTAAATTCATACTGAGAGATAAGTTCATATTTTTCTGGAACTTCTTGGTGTTTAGTAAGTTATGTAACAAGAACATTGTTTAAATTCTTACTAAGAGATATGTAACCAGAACATTGTGTTGATTAAGAAGAAAGTCCACAGTGTTTGGCGAGTACTTGCTATTGAGTGCAGTACTTATTGAGAACTATTTTACTTTAGATGTACTAGAGGAATATTTAATTTTGAGTACTATGTAAATACAACTTAATTCCAAATCCGATTGTTTTTGTTTCTCTAGGAACTCCTACAGGAAGCTTTGACGAAAGAGATGAAGCATGAACATGAAGATAAAAAACTACAAAGAGCTCTAAAAGTTAACTTATGTGAACCAGAGTTCTTACAGGTTTTTATTTTATATTCAACTATTGTTTAACAAACTTCTTTGAACTGAATTTGGTTACAACCAAAATTCTTTATAAAATGTGATGTATTCTAGGGCTATAGATTACATGAAACAAAAATAATAACACTCAGATAAACCAATACCTCATCTATATATATTGGAATATTTAACATAATTTATTGGTGATGTGATATTAATTTTGATATCGCTTCTTGACAGTTTTGGATGAAGCTCACCACATTTTCTAAATTGTTAATGTAAGAGTTACACAGTTACATAACTTTCACTTGATGATTAACTGTAGGAATATCTTCTACTACAAATGTTGTCTTATGATATGAAATATTTTAGTTTCAGTCTCTGACCACCCACCCCTTCCCAAACAATAAAAGTTACTTAAGGTGAAACAAATCTAATTTCTCTGTAAAAGAATAGGACTACCACTGTACAGTAGCATGTGATAGTTAACCAACTTACTTAGACCAGGAATGATACTATCGGTTTCAAATTGTATGCGTTACAAGGTTACATAACACCTCCTACACTGTATGGTTACTCTACTGGAACACTTTTCACATGATAACTATGTGTTACAAGGTTACATAACACCTCCTACACTGTATGGTTACTCTACTGGAACACTTTTCACATGATAACTGTATGTGTTACAAGGTTACATTACACCTCCTACACTGTATGGTTACTCTACTGGAACACTTTCCACATGATAACTGTATGTGTTACAAGGTTACATAACACCTCCTACACTGTATGTGTTACAAGTTTACATAACACCTCCTACACTGTATGTG